ATCCATGTAATGAGTTTTGAAAACCATGTGGGCTTACATGATCAAATCTATATGGGCTCCACTTTTTTCCTCCACCACACATCGTGAGCATGTTCCAGATGACCTCCTCTGAAAGAAATGGTGTAAATATCACAGTATCTAGCCTAATAAAATGGAACATAAGCACAGATGTGCATTGAAAACAGCTAAGCAAGCAGTCTAAAACATGTATAATATGTAGGCCTATTCTAAAACCATGATGCAACATTAAGCTCAGAGGAAGTGGTTTACAATAGAATCTACCCTATTATTTGTTAGAAAATGATTAGTTGCAGGATTCATAAATGGGTGACTATAACAACATTGTTTATTGCTTCAAGTAGTCTAAAACCAATAAATAATATACTTGGGTCTCATTGTTCACCTCAAAACAGTAGCTAATGACATCTCTCTTGTTTACGTCTGCAGTGGTCTCATGTCCTCCTCTGTTGTTGAGAATGGCGTTCTGATTGAAGGCCATCCCCCCTATACGTACAAGTCTTTTGTGACATATAAGTGCAACGCTGGATATGAGATGGATGGACAAGCCAGTCTGACCTGTGAAATAGAAGGCTGGTCAGCTCCTTTCCCTACATGCAAGGTAAGACTGATTTCAGTGTTTGTTATTTAACACACTTTGGCCTATATTTTAGCTCAGATATTTGTGCATCATTTGGTGTGTAGGAACAGAGGACCAATGTGTCAGCAAACTGTATTTTTTAATGGAATTGACCTGAACTCGTATAAACACATTGAGGCCTTTTTGTAAGAAAATATGGTGTTGTGTGTGTTAATGTTCATGCTAATTGTTATTTTTCACCATATACATGCCTGTGCATAGCCAACCTCAAGTATTTATTTTCCTTTTTACATGTTATGAGTGATTGACTAGCTGTCTGGTCCAACACCATTCTACTCACTCAGACCACACTGGCTGACTAAAGCATTTGAGGGATCACAACAGTAAAGTGTTGTGACAGACCGACAAGCAAGATAGTTAGTGGCCTAATTATATGTAATGTCTTATAGCCCTTCTGACTACAACAAAGCCCCCCACTACCACAACTACTGCAGCTACTACAAGAGAACCATAGTCCACGTTAAGAGCATTTTGATACTGCTTGGCACAATCCTAATCTAATGTTATATATATATAAATAAATAAATAAATATCACACCACACACACACACAACACAGTTGAAGTCGGAAGTTTACATACACCTTAGCCAAATACATTTGAACTCAGTTTTTCACAATTCCTGACATTTAATCCTAGTAAAATTCCCTGTTTAGGTCCGTTAGGATCACATCACCACTTTATTTTAAGAATGTGAAATGTCAGAAATATAGTAGAGAATTCTTTATTTCAGCTTTTATTTCTTTCATCACATTCCCAGTGGGTCAGAAGTTTACATGCACTCAATTAGTATTTGGTAGCATTGCCTTTAAATTGTTTAACTTGGGTCAAACGTTTCGGGTAGCCTTCCACAAGCTTCCCACAATAAGTTGGGTGATTTTGGCCCATTCCTCCTGACAGAGCTGGTGTAACTGAGTCAGGTTTGTAGGCCTCCTTGCTCGTACACGCCTTTTTCAGTTCTGCACACAAATCTTCTATACGATTTGAGGTCAGGGCTTTGTGATGGCCACTCCAATACCTTGACTTTGTTGTCCTTAAGCCATTTTGCCACAACTTGGAAGCTTTAACTTCCTGACTGATGTCTTGAGATTGTTGCTTCAATATATCACATACTTTTCCTTCCTCATGCCATCTATTTTGTGAAGTGCACCAGTCCTCCTGCAGCAAGCACCCCCACAACATGATGCTGCCACCCCCGTGCCTCACGGTTGGGATAGTGTTCTTCCGCTTACAAGCTCCCGCCTTTTTCTCCAAACAAACGATGGTCATTATGGCCAAACAGTTCTATTTTTGTTTCATCAGACCAAAGACATTTCTCCAAAAAGTAAGATCTTGTTCCCATGTGCAGTTGCAAACCGTATAGTCAGTTTTTTTTTTTTGCGGTTTTGGAGCAGTGACTTCTTCTTGCTGAGCGGCCTTTCAGGTTATGTTGATATAGGACTGTTTTACTGTGGATATATATACTTTTGTACTGTTTCCTCCAGCATCTTTGCAAGGTCCTTTGCTGTTGTCTGGGATCGATTTGCACTTTTCGCACAAGTACGTTCATCTCTAGGAGACAGGGGCCGCGTTCATTCCTGAGCGGTTATGATGGGTGTGTGGTCACATGGTGTTTATACTTGCTACTATTGCTTGTGGCAGAAGATGAACGGTGGTACCTTCATGTGTTTGTAAATTGCTCCCAGGATTTGAAGCGACTTGTGGAGGTCTACATTTTTTTTCAGATGGTCTTGGCTGAGTTCTTTGATTTTCCCATGCTGTAAGCAAAGAGTCACTGCGTTTGAGGTAGCCTTGAATACATCACAGGTACACCTTCCAATTGACTCAAATTATTGTCCCATTAGCCTATCAGAAGCTTCTCTACAGCATGGACATCATGTTCGGGAAGTTTCCAAGCTGTAAAGGCACAGTCAACTTAGTATATGTAAACTTCTGACCACTGGAAGTGTGTACAGTGAAATTATAAGTGAAATAATCTGTCTGTAAACAAGGGTGGAAAGAAAATTACTTGGTCATGCACCACAAACAAAGTAGTTGTCCTAACCACTTGCCAAAACTATAGTTGAACAGACCATTTGTGGAGAGTTGAAAAACACAAGTTTTTATGACTCAACCTAAGTGTATGTAAACTATTACGACTTCAAGTTGTGTCTAACTCAGTCAGTGTATTAGGTACACCACACCGTTCACGAAAACGGATGATCATACAGGACAGTGAGTCACGTGGGCCATGGCTTGCTATATTAATAGATATCGAGGCATTCAGTTTGAATGTTTTATTGACACATAGAAGGGATAAACGGTTGACTATGTGACTGAGCGTTGTATGATCCATCAGCCAGGCACGCCGGATCCAGTATCTAAGAAAACAGGCAGGCTGGGCTTTTCACAACACTGGGCTTTTCACCGCAGACAGTGTTCTTAGGGTTACCGTTAATGGTCGGGAAAAGACAAAAAAAACATTCAGTTCAGCGGCCAGTCCTGTGGCGAAAAACGATTGTTGATGAGGGAGGTTCGAAGGAGGAATTGGCAAGATAGTTTGAACAGCTAACATGCAGGGCCATAAACGGCAACTAATGAAACAGTACAACAGTGGGTGGCAGAACGAACGGCATCTCGGAAGCACAACTCGTCGCTCTGGTCAGGGATGGGATATTGCCATAAGGAAGACCACACAGGTCAGTGTTTCACTGCTATCAGCTTAAAAAACAAGAAGAGGAGGGCTAAAGTGGGCACGTGATCACCAACACTGGACAATTGAGGAGTGGAAAAATTGCCTGGAACATGACGAGTTCAGTTTACTTGATGCGATGGAGCATTCCCCAAACCTCAACCCAATAGAGCATCCTTGGGTGAAAAGGAACGGGTGTCGCAGCATGAAGACCGCCGTCCAATCTGCAGCAACTTGCGAGATGCCATAGGTCGTCATGGAACAACATCCCTGTGAAATGTTTCCGACACCTTGTTGAATGCCCCGAAGGATTCAGGCTGTTCTGGAGGCAAGGGGGGTCTGACCTGGGGTATAGGATGGGATCCCTTATTGATGTCACTGTAAATCACTTCAATCCAGTTGTAGATGAAGGGGCGGAGACCGCTATTTTAAAGAAGGAATTTGTTAAGCCCTTGAGACCATAGATTGTGTAAGTGTGCAATTCAGATGGGAAGTGGCAAGACACATTAATTAAGTGCCTTCGATGGGGTATGGTAGTAGGGCCAGGGACGCTACTGCGTTTTCACGCCAAACAGTTTCCCATGTGATCAAGAAATGGTCACCAGCCAACGGACACAACTGTGGGAAGAAGCATGGAGTCAACATGGACCAAACACCCTGTGTGGACGCTTTCGAAGCTTGAGAATCATGCTGCGGGCAAAAGGGGGTGTGAACTCAATGTTTTGTTGTACACTCGGTGTACTGTACATAGCCTAGCAATGGCTTTGCTTTCTGAACCCCTCATGTTCTTCTCCATAAGCATTACCTACATACAGGAAAATCAGACGAGTGACTTTGTACAGCTGAATGACCTGAATTCAAGATGTAGTGTTGATAGAGAGAAAATATATTATGCTAACCTTTGGACCTAACACCTTTAACTCATTGTATTGCCCTAACCTTTGATCCTTTGTAGGTAAGACAATAACCCGTGGTGTCTGGGGGGTTTCTGAGGCTTTGGAAGGACCTCAACACCAAGTTACATGTCATAGTCGTGGTGAGTTGCAGACTCATCATTGTTCTGTGAAGTACTACTCAGCCTTAATATGCTCACTACATTCCCCTAGTAAGTTGTGTACAAAGTGATTTGCTTGTCTACAACTTTCATTGGCACTGAATTTATACATTCAAATGAACTGATTGGCATCCAGTGGAGTTTATGGATGGCTTTTCTCCATCAGACTCTCTCACCTGTAAACAAAGGATGGATTGTGATCTGAATATGTAACCAAAGTTTACATGTCAAGTGTCATGGAGGAAAAACACCCATATAAAAAAATGCATGAAGTAGTAATCATCCTCTGTCCTCACAAAAACGGTGACCCTATCTTGAGGTTATGTGAGCTCTTGCCTACCTCTAACCGGAAATAAACTATTATTGGATGTGTTGAAATAACACTAGGTTTGATTCACCCAGTGTGCCATGCCACGAACTAGATCTGCGAAAGGATAAACGTAATTCTCTACCACCCAACCCATACCGATCAATTAGCGCAGGGATTTTGCTGATTAGTTTCATTGACGAAAAGTAGTCTTTACTAGAGAAATGTGAAGTTTGGAAAATGACATTTTGGCTAATATGGGTTGGATTTGTTAATCGGACAATTGATGGCTTCACCATTCAAACTAGTAGTTTAAAGATTGAGGATTAATAAAAAATATTGTTGTAAAAACAGACACATTGTTAGTAACTATTGTTCTATTGATCGTTATCACATAAATTCAGGGAAATGCATCGCAATATGGGAATTTTTTTTCCATATCGCCCGAAGCACTACCACCACACCACCTCATTCTTCACACCTTCTTTGATTTGTTTATCTAACGTCAGTCCTGGGTGTGTGTTAACAAATATCACTTCGTTATGTAGAAGAGTCCTGGTCCCCACTGATTCCAAACCCCGAAGCCCCCCACGTAAGCTATGCCCAGTTGCTATCTATTGGTGTTGTATATGAGTAAGGATGCGGCATAGTGGCAATTTTTCAGATTCAAATCATATCATATTTTTTCGGATATCCGGATAGTCGAAATACCATGTTTAAAGAATGTTATTTTTGTTTACGTCAATGGAGACTTGCGTAGCGTGACTCGAGAGGAACCAGGTGTGCTGCGATCTGACAGTCAGTGTGGCACAGAGGGAGAGAGCGCAAAGTAGCCAAACCGATCGCGATAGTTAGAAACTTAAATGTGCAAAAAGTTTGTGTATCATGGATTTCTTATATTGCCTTGAATGCATCCAAAATTGTTTCGCTAGCTCGCTACAGTAGCAAGCTAGCCTCACCTGAGACACAAACATCGATCCCCTTGTTGTAACAATTTTCCCAAAGCATCTCAATTGCGGTCAGCCCTTGGATTATTTGTGCCACCTGGGCTACAATGATGAACCCCCTCTCTGATTGTCCGAGTGTGACCCCCTCCCCATGGGTTACTGCAGCCAGTGTTGCCAGCACTGCCACTACCTGGGTGGGCGTACCCCACCGGAATCCCCACCGGCTAGGTAAAAGGTCGTCAGGTTCTCATTAGCAGCTTTGAGAATTTCCTTGTATATTATGCTCTCCCATCAGGGGGGCTCTGGCTTTGTAGGACCAACCTTGCCAGGCAGGCTCAGAATCTTGAGGGGGCGGTGCTGCTCAAGTAGGTCTCTGACCGTATTTATTTCTCTGTTTAGGCTGCTATTTCACAGCAGGTCCATAAAAGAGATGGGAACTTCTCTTTGGTATATGGGTCGCTCAGGTGGGTGTCCAGGTTATAGGGTTAGGGATCTTTCCATCATGATAGGGACAATGAAAAATTAGATTAGATGTATACTATATTTAAAAAATGTATATCCCTCATCTACACAATTGAAAGCTCTCTCTCTGTACCCCTGCTCATAGACCCCCGGTCGGCTCTGGGATATGCAACCATTTCCCCTCTCACTCACTTAATGCCGCACCTTTTCAAACACAAAAATGCACACCACATGGTTGACTGGGGAAGAAATGGGCCGAGCGTGCAAACGCACCCGCATCCACATCTGCCGCAAGGGGAAAGGACGCCAGAGAGAACACAGGACCAACCACAAACAACCATCCGCCAAAACAACAACCTCCCGCCAAAAAAGCCCATGTTTCTAATTATTTGTATTTAAATATGTATTATTCTGCTTGTTATATCGTTTTATCCTTTTATAAAATACTATACTTACTATAAATGTTATTTAATATTACAATCCCTATCATTGCTAGTATCAGGTGCTCCAATATTTGACTCCTCTATTACAACTTTTAGAATAGCCATGGAGTAGTCTTTGTGTCTCTGAACATTTGTTTGTCAATATATAATTTATCCACCACTAGTGCAACACGTTTCCCTTTTAATCTGTTTTCCTTGAAGATTGGGTACAGAACTTTGCGCCTTTCTTACAATCTCCCTCGGGAACTGATCATTCATGCCTATTTTTCGTGCCAGCAAGTCTTTTTCCCAGGCTTTTCACCATAGCTTTATCCTTAAAAAAAGCAAATTTGGCAACGATTGGGCGCTCATATTTCTGTCCTCTTTTTCCGAAAACGATGTACACGTTCGAGTTGGATTTTATCGACAGCCTCGAGTGGGATTTGTAGCGCTGTATGCAGGAAGTCCTTCATAATATTCTCTGTTATTTCTCCCTCCTTTTCCTGAATACCCGTAAGTACTAGATTTTCCCTCATTGATCTAGTTTGGATGTCTAGTAAGGCTTCTCTCAGAAGATTGTTCTCCTTTTTTAGTTCCCTAACGTTCGTTTCCATTTTAGAGACTGTCACTTTTAATTCTTTGGTTTCTTTCTCCATTACCAAGCTTTTTCGTCACTCATTTGAAGACTCGCTTTCAACTCTTTTACGTCTTTACTGACCAATTCTAATATGCCCAATTTGTCATTTATCGACTTCAACAGGTCGCTTTCCACACTTACCATACCCAGTGGTGAAAACATATATCATCCCGTATCAGTCGATGAGTCGCGTTTCCTTTTGGGGATCGGCTCTCCACGCTTGTCTTCAGTCATGTTTGGGTGTTGCGTGTTGATGTAATATTTGTCGATATATTTCTCTAGCCTTATGATCTGTTTTGTGTTATTATCCAGATTGAATTATATTAACTGCGAATATATGAAATGCTAATATTTAGTCTAACTTACTGATTTGAATATTATGTTTTTATCTTGAGGTGTTTCGTACCGATTTTCTATTCAATACGCCATCTTGTCTACGCGTGCCCCGCGTACCTTGAACAGACAATCTTACAACGCACTAAATTTTCCTTATCTGAAGGAGCATGTCAAGTGAAAATAACAATAACTTTAACAGTTCTGTGCTTGTGCCTAATCAAAACTCTTCATAAACTGATCATAACTGCGGTTGTGCTCTAATCTGCAGTGGTGAAGTGTGGAAAGCCCCCCACCATTGTCAACGGTGGGCCTGTTGTCCCACCTGAAGAGACGTATAACTATGGAAGTGTAGTGCAATATGGCTGTGAGAAGGATTACACTCTGGTTGGAACTAAATCCATAATCTGCTCGGAGAATGGAGAATTCCAGCCAGCTCCACCTGAGTGTAAAAGTACGTTGAAAGCTTGCCTTTTTTCCCATTCTAAGTATGGTTGTTAACAAAATATAGAACTGCTCACATGAACTGCTTACAACAGGGGTGTCAAAGTCATTCCATGGAGGGCCTAGTGTCTGATGGTTTTTGGTTTTTCCTTTCAATTAAGACCTAGACAACCAGGTGAGAGGAGTTCCTTACTAATTAGTGATCTTAATTCATCAATCAAGTACAACGGAGGAGTGAAAAACCCGCAGACATTCGGCCCTCCATGGAATGAGTTTGAAACATGTGGCTTACACTGATCAAATCTATATGGGCTCCACTTTTTTTCCTCCACCACACAATCGTGAGCATGTTCCAGATGACCTCCTCTGAAAGAAATGTGTAAATATCACAGTATCTAGCCTAATAAAATGGAACATAAGCACAGATGTGCATGAAACAGGCTAAGCAAGCAGTCTAAAAACATGTATAATATGTAGGCCTATTCTGAAAACCATGATGCAACATTAAGCTCAGAGGAAGTGGTTTACAATAGAATCTACCCTATTTATTTGTTAGAAAATGATTAGTTGCAGGATTCATAAATGGGTGACTATAACAACATTGTTTATTGCTTCAAGTAGTCTAAAACCAATAAATAATATACTTGGGTCTCATTGTTCACCTCAAAACAGTAGCTAATGACATCTCTCTTTGTTTACGTCTGCAGTGGTCTCATGTCCTCCTCCTGTTGTTGAGAATGGCGTTCTGATTGAAGGCCATCCCCCCTATACGTACAAGTCTTTTGTGACATATAAGTGCAACGCTGGATATGAGATGGATGGACAAGCCAGTCTGACCTGTGAAATAGAAGGCTGGTCAGCTCCTTTCCCTACATGCAAAGGTAAGACTGATTTCAGTGTTTGTTATTTAACACACTTTGGCCTATATTTTAGCTCAGATATTTTGTGCATCATTTGGTGTGTAGGAACAGAGGACCAATGTGTCAGCAAACTGTATTTTTTAATGGAATTGACCTGAACTCGTATAAACACATTGAGGCCTTTTTGATAAGAAAATATGGTGTGTGTGTGTGTTAATGTTTCATGCTAATTGTTATTTTTCACCATATACATGCCTGTGCATAGCAACCTCAAGTATTTATTTTCCCTTTTTACATGTTATGAGTGATTGACTAGCTGTCTGGTCCAACCCATTCTACTCCTCAGACCACACTGGCTGACTAAAGCATTTGAGGGATCACAACAGTAAAGTGTTTTGACAGACCGGACAAGAATAGTTAGTGGCCTAATTATATGTAATGTCTTTATAGCCCTTCTGACTACAACAAAGCCCCCCCACTACCACAACTACTGCAGCTACTACAAAGAGAACCATAGTCCACGTTAAGAGCATTTTGATACTGCTTGGCACAATCCTAATCTAATGTTATATATATAAATAAATAAATAATATCACACACACACACACACACACAGTTGAAGTCGGAAGTTTACATACACCTTAGCCAAATACATTTGAACTCAGTTTTTTCACAATTCCTGACATTTAATCCTAGTAAAAATTCCCTGTTTTAGGTCCGTTAGGATCACATCACCACTTTATTTTAAGAATGTGAAATGTCAGAAATATAGTAGAGAATTCTTATTTCAGCTTTTATTTCTTTCATCACATTCCCATGGGTCAGAAGTTTACATGCACTCAATTAGTATTTGGTAGCATTGCCTTTTAAATTGTTTAACTTGGGTCAAACGTTTCGGGTAGCCTTCCACAAGCTTCCCACAATAAGTTGGGTGAATTTTGGCCCATTCCTCCTGACAGAGCTGGTGTAACTGAGTCAGGTTTGTAGGCCTCCTTGCTCGTACACGCCTTTTCAGTTCTGCACACAAATCTTCTATACGATTTGAGGTCAGGGCTTTGTGATGGCCACTCCAATACCTTGACTTTGTTGTCCTTAAGCCATTTTGCCACAACTTTGGAAGCTTAACTTCCTGACTGATGTCTTGAGATGTTGCTTCAATATATCCACATACTTTTCCTTCCTCATGCCATCTATTTTGTGAAGTGCACCAGTCCCTCCTGCAGCAAAGCACCCCCACAACATGATGCTGCCACCCCCGTGCCTCACGGTTGGGGATAGTGTTCTTCCGCTTACAAGCTCCCGCCTTTTTCCTCCAAACATAACGATGGTCATTATGGCCAAACAGTTCTATTTTTGTTTCATCAGACCAAAGGACATTTCTCCAAAAAGTAAGATCTTTGTTCCCATGTGCAGTTGCAAACCGTAGTCAGTTTTTTTTTTTTTTGCCGGTTTTGGAGCAGTGACTTCTTCCTTGCTGAGCGGCCTTTCAGGTTATGTTGATTATAGGACTTGTTTTACTGTGGATATATATACTTTTGTACGTGTTTCCTCCAGCATCTTTGCAAGGTCCTTTGCTGTTGTTCTGGGATCGATTTGCACTTTTCGCACCAAAGTACGTTCATCTCTAGGAGACAGAACGCGTCTCATTCCTGAGCGGTATGATGGCTGTGTGGTCCCATGGTGTTTATACTTGCGTACTATTGCTTGTGCAGATGAACGTGGTACCTTCATGTGTTTGTAAATTGCTCCCAAGGATGAAGCAGACTTGTGGAGGTCTACAATTTTTTTTCTGATGTCTTGGCTGATTTCTTTTGATTTTCCCATGATGTCAAGCAAAGAGTCACTGCGTTTGAAGGTAGGCCTTGAAATACATCCACAGGTACACCTCCAATTGACTCAAATTATGTCCATTAGCCTATCAGAAGCTTCTAAAGCCATGACATCATTTTCTGGAATTTTCCAAGCTGTTTAAAGGCACAGTCAACTTAGTATATGTAAACTTCTGACCCACTGGAATTGTGATACAGTGAATTATAAGTGAAATAATCTGTCTGTAAACAATTGTTGGAAAAATTACTTGTGTCATGCACAAAGTAGTTGTCCTAACCAACTTGCCAAAACTATAGTTTGTTAACAAGACATTTGTGGAGTAGTTGAAAAACACAAGTTTTAATGACTCCAACCTAAGTGTATGTAAACTTACGACTTCAAGTGTATATACTCAGTCAGTTTATTAGGTACACCACCCGTTCACGAAAAAGGATCGCTCCTACAGACAGTGAGTCACGTGGCCATGGCTTGCTATATAAATCAGATATCGAGGCATTCAGTGACTGTTTAATTGAACATTAGAATGGGCTAAACGAGTGACCTATGTGACTGAGCGTTGTATGATCATCAGTGCCAGGCACGCCGGATCCAGTATCTAAGAAACAGCAGCTGGGCTTTTCACACACTGGGCTTTTCACGCACGACAGTGTCTAGGGTTTACCGTTAATGGTGGGAAAAGCAAAAAAACATCCAGTCAGCGGCAGTCCTGTGGGCGAAAACAGCTTGTTGATGAGGGAGGTCGAAGGAGAATGGCAAGAATCGTGCAAGCTAACATGCAGGCCATAAACAGGCAAATAATGAAACAGTACAACAGTGGTGTGCAGAACGGCATCTCGGAACGCACAACTCGTCGATCCTGGTCAGGGATGGGCTATTGCATCAGAAGACCACACAGGGTTTCACTGCTATCAGCTAAAAACAAGAAGAGGAGGCTCAAGTGGGCACGTGATCACCAACACTGGACAATTGAGGAGTGGAAAAACATTGCCTGGAACATGACGAGTTCAGTTTACTTGAGTGGCCTGAGCATTCCCCAAACCTCAACCCAATAGAGCATCCTTGGGATGAAATGGAACGGGCTGTTCGCAGCATGAATGTACCGCCGTCCAATCTGCAGCAACTGCGAGATGCCATCGCGTCGTCATGGAACAACATCCCTGTGAAATGTTTCCGACACCTTGTTGAATGCCCCGAAGGATTCAGGCTGTTCTGGAGGCAACGGGGGGTCTGACCTGGTACTAGATGGGATCCCTTATTGATGTCACCTGTTAAATCCACTTCAATCAGTGTAGATGAAGGGGAGGAGACCGGTTAAAGAAGGATTTTTAAGCCTTGAGACATAGATTGTGTAAGTGTGCAATTCAGATGGTGAATTGGCAAGACACATTAATTTAAGTGCCTTTCGAATGGGGTATGGTAGTAGGTGCCAGACGCTACTGCGTTTTCACGCTCAACAGTTTCCCATGTGTATCAAGAATGGTCCACCAGCCAACTTGACACAACTGTGGGAAGCATTGGAGTCAACATGGACCAACATCCCTGTGGAACGCTTTCGACAGCTTGTAGAATCTATGCTGAGGGCAAAAGGGGGTGCAACTCAATGTTTTGTACACTCGGTGTACTGTACATAGCCTAGCAATGGCTTTGCTTCTGACCCCTCATGTTCTTCTCCATAGCATTACCTAACCTACAGGAAATCAGAGAGTGCCTGTTGTACAGCTGAATGACCTGAATTCACATATTTTAGTGTTGATAGAGAAAATATATTATGCTAACACTTTGGCACCTAACACCTTAACTCATTGTATTAGCCTAACCTTTGATCCTTTGTGGTAATACAATAACCCAGTGGTGTCTGTCTGAGGCTTTGGAAGGACCTCAACACCAAGTTACATGTCATAGTCTGTGGCTGAGGTGCAGAATCATCATTGGTTCTGTGAAGTATACTCAGCCTAATATGCTCACTACATTCCCCTAGTAAGTTGTGTCCAAAGTGATATGCTTGTCTAAACTTTCATTGACACTTGAATTATACATTCAAATTGAATCTGATTGGCATCCAGTGGTAGTTTATGGTGGCTTTTCTCCATCAGACTCTCCTTCACCTGAAACAAAGGATGGATTGTGATCTGAATATGTAACAAAGTACATGTCAAGTAGTCATGGAGAAAAACAACCCATATCAAATGCATGAAGTAATCATCACTCTGTCCTCACAAACGGCTGAACCCTATCTTGAGTTATGTGAGCTCTTGGCCTACCTCTAACACGGAAATAAACTATTGGATGTGTTGAAATGTAACACTAGTTTGTTCACCAGTGTGCCATGCCACTAACTAGATCTGGAATGATAAACTTAATTCTCTACACCCACCATACCGATCACTTATCGCAGGTATTTTGCTGATATCGTTCATTACGAAAAGTAGTCTTTACTAGAGAAATGTGAAGTTTGAAATGACATTTTTGCTAATATGGGTGATTTGTTAATCGGACAATTGATGGCTTCAACCATCAAACTAGTAGTTTAAAGATTGATGATAATAAAAATATTTTGTAAAAACAGTTACACATTGTTATTAACTTATTGTTCTATTGATCGTTATCACATAAATTCAGGAAATGCATCGCAATATGGATATTTTTTTCCATATCGCCGAGCTCTACCACCAACACCACCTCATTCTTTCACTACATTCTTTTGATTTGTTTTATCTAACGTCAGTTTCCTGTGTGTGTGTGTGTGTGTGTGTGTTAACCCAAATAGCACTTCTTTATGTAGAAGAGTACCTGGTCCCACTGATCAAACCCCGAAGCCCAGCGGTAAGCTATGCCCCAGTTGCTATCTATTGCTGTTGTATATGATGTAAGGATGGGCATTTGAAATTATTTCAGTATTCAAATAATATCATATTTTTTCGGATATCCGGATAGTCGAAATACATGTTTTAAAGAATGTTATTTTTGTTTACGTCAATGGAGACTTGCTCGCGTGACTCGAGAGAGAACCAGGTGTGCTGCGATCTGACAGTCTGTGTGGCACAGAATTGGAGAGAGAAAGTAGCCAAACCGACTCGCGCTAGTTAGATAACTTAAGGCTGCAACAAATTTGTGTATCATGATTTCTTATATTGCCTTGACTGCATCAAATCATTGTCATTGTTATGCTAGCTAGCTACAGTAGCCA